AGATCCTGGCTGTTTTGGGGCGCCTGGTTCAAGGAGGCGGAGCCTCCCTCCGAGGACGTACGGTTCCAAACAGTCGCATCCAGCAGAGGTCTGGAGCTAGGCTCCCCCCCCTTCCGCCAAATGTCGAAGCGCGGGATAAGAAGCCGCTCACGTGTCCGTCCTCCTCCCCCCCCTCGGCCGCACGCACGTGGGGGCTGGCGCGAGGCAGGCGTGCCTCTGGGACTGCGGGGGGGTCCTCAGCAGCCTCAGGCCTCCAGAAGCCTCCGACGGCCGGGTTTGGCCAGACCTGGCGCCTGGCGAGGGCACCCAGGAGCCGAAGACGATCGAAGAGCTTCCCACCGCAGGGCACCCAGAGGCCGAAACACGATCGAACACCATCGAGAAACTCTCGTGCCGTCTCAGACGGGTCTGTAGGCCTCTCGGAAGCCTCAGCGGAGGCCCCACGGGCCCTTCGGAGAAGGCTCCGTGCTGCTCTGTGGCCCGCTGCCTCCTCAGATGGCCGCCCCTCGCGCCCCACCCCCTCGCGCGCGCGCGCCGCGATCCTTCCCGGCGGCGGCGTCTGCCCCCCCCCCCCCCCCCCGCCTTCCCGCAGGTCGACCGGAGGAGCAGCCTTGGGCAGCGGCTCCGCCGGTGCAGAGAGCCCCATGGAGCTCGTGCGCACGCGCTCGGCGTCGCCCCTAACATAGTAACAGAAACCACGTGTGCGTCGCCCCCCATGGGCGACGCGCGCGCCGAGAGATGTTCTAGTAGAAGCTCCGTGGCGGGCGCTATCTGGCCGTACCGTTCCGCTCGGGAAGCGATATACTACAAGATGGTTGTAATTACGGGGTGTTTGGGTCGCACGCGCGCCTCCGAGGAGGACACATAGTATCAATATGTCCGTGTGCGGCCCAAGCACTGGGGTACCTCGCCAGGAGGGGTGAGGACTAAGGGCGGAGCGGGGAACGGGCAGGGCAGGAAGAGGAGCAGGAGGACAAGGAGGAGGAGGAGGAAGAGGAGGAGGAGGAGGGCAAGAGGAGAGGGGGCGCCCCGTCCGCCTCTTGCGCCTGCTGCCGTTGCTGCCGTCGCCGCCGCCGTTGCTGCAGCTCTTTCATGTTTTCCACCATATCCTCCTCATTTTCGCAGTCCTCCTTGACCTCCTCCTCCTCCGAATTAATATTCCTCAACCTCGTCATCCCCTCATCCTTCTCCTCTTCATCCTTCCAATCCTTCAGTGTCATCGTCGTGACCTGCCTTGTACGCTTATACGTGCGTGGCCGACGCGCAGAGCTGTCTTGTGACGATGTTGCGACCTCCTTCGCGGTGGTAGAAGTGGTACGGCTTGGATACGCCACTGGAAGTTTTGTCTTATCGCGCATGGTCTTCCTCATGATCCTCTTGAAAATCCAGCTCGTATTCCATTCGTAATGGCAATCGATCCCCCCCCCCCCCTCCCTACTGATCCCCTGTCACTCTTATCCTGCATCCTTGTCCTCTTCACCCCCCTCCTATCTCTCCATAGCCCTCGTAGGCACGCCCCCCCCTCCACACGCAGCGCTTCCCTTCCCGCACCCCTCCTTCCTACCTCCCTCCCTCCCGCTCTCATCCTGCTCCTCCTCGCCTTCTTCCTTCTGCTCCTGCTTCTTCCTCTCTTCCCCTCCTCCCTCTCCCAGGTCGCCCGCCAAGGGGGGTGCGAAGGCGCTGCGAGCCGCGACGCCTCCCTTCTCCAAGAGGTCGGCGCCGGAGTGCGAAGCCGTCGCGTGTCGCGCAGCGAGGGGTGCGCGGGCCGCGCGGCAGCGCCTCCTCGAGTCGGGGTCCCTCTGCAGGCGGAATACAGAAGAACAGTTTGAACATACTCTGGGGACGGTTTTTCGGTGAATCCTGAGTACTCTTTGCCCACTTGTCACTGGTCTTCCACGTCCGCCTGTGGGAGTCCATGCCCGACCTCAGCGTCTCCCCGTCGCTCGGAGGAGGGCCGGTGGAGGCGGCGGCTGCCTTCCCTGGCGTGGCGCTTGCTCCTGCCCCAAGGCGTGGGTCCCTGGCGTGGAGGGCGTGGCGTTCCCGCGCTAAGAATCCGTGGGCGGCCTCGTGGCTCAGGGCTGGGTTTCTTGTGGAAGGTTCCCTGTGGACCGGCCTCCACTGCACAGAGCTGATTTGCCTGAGAAGTGTTTTCCCTGGCGTGGTTCTTGTTCCTGCTCTTTTTTGTTGGCCTCCTGGAGGCTTTTCGTCTCCACGGTCGGTGCCGCCTCGAAAAGCGGGTCAGGGCGGACCTTTCGAGCAGGGGATCGGCTACAGTGGAGGCCCCTGCTTGCCTCCAGGGTGCCCTGGGCTTCTTGGGTTTCGATGGTTCAGCTATGGAGAGCGTGGCGTTCCCGCACCAAGAATCCGTGGACGTCCTCGTGTCTCAGGGCTGGGTTTCTTGTGGAAGGTTCCCTGTGGACTGGCCTCCACTGTACAGAGCTGATTTACTTGAATTGTTCTCCCTGGCGTGGTTCTTGTTCCTGCTCTTTTTTGTTAGCCTCCTCCTCCTCCTCCTCCTCCTCCTCCTCCTCCTCCTCCTCCTCCTCCTCCTCCTCCTCCTCCTCCTCCTCCTCCTCCTCCTCCTCCTCCTCCTCCTCCTCCTCCTCCCCCTCCTCCTCCTCCTCCTCCCCCCCCTCCCTCCTCTCCTCCTCCTCCTCCTCCTCCTCCTCCTCCTCCTCCTCCTCCTCCTCCTCCTCCTCCTCCTCCTCCTCCTCCATCTCCTCCTCCTCCTCCTTCTCGTCGCCACGGTCGGGCCCGCCTCGAACAGCGGTTCGGGACGGACCTTTCGAGTAGGGGTTCGGCCACGCAATCGACTCTCGGGCTCGCGCCGCACCGCCGACCCCTCGGGGAGGCTCCTGGCAGGTCTCTCGGGGGCCTCCCGGCAGCACCTTTGGAGGCCTGCTGGGGGCCGTTTTGGGGCCTCTTGGGGCTTCTTTTGGGCCTCTGAGTGAGCCTCTTGGAGCCTCTCGGGGGCTTCTTGGGGCCTCCTGGAGGCTTCTTGGGGCCGAGGACCTGAAATTTCCATCGGGTCCCCCGCCTGGGCCCCCTCCTAGAGCCGTTTTGCAGGGGATCGACAACGGAATTGATTTGCCTGAAAGGATCCTGGCGCCAACATCGCAGAGCGGATTTCGCTCGGAAAACTATAGGGTGGGCCCGGAGTGTCCTGGAGAATTTCGGTTTCGCATTTCGAGGTGAATTTCATACGGCTTTCTTTTTTGGCTAAAAATGAAGACCAAACATCATCCACGCGAAATTCACTACGTTTTTTGCTCGCCGCTTCGGGCAGACATCCACGCAGAAATCCGCTGCAGCACGTCTACAAGGCCGGTGCCGGTGCAATAAAAAGTTGTTTTCTTTTGTCGAGGCTACGACAAATACATCGAACATCCGTAAGTACGAATCGGCGGCGAGCGAGGGTGGGAAACATGAGGGAGAAGGCCTTCTCAGAAGGCGGCGGGACTTCTCAGACGCTCTCGCGCCTTCTGAGGGGTTGTTTGTGTGTCTTCGGGGACGGCTCAGAAGACTTCTCGGAAGGCCGGGCAGCTTCCGAGCCTTCCGAGAAGGCCCTCTCCTTCTTCCTTTTCCCCCCCCCCCCCCCGGGCGGGCCGCCGAACGAACACAACGTGGGCGTAGAGTCCCCGAAACAACAAGCTGTCGGGGTACCTCCACTCGTGGTCGGTCCCCTCCTCGAGCCGTCGGCGGGCAGCGGGGACGGGGACGGGTCTGGAGCGGAATGGGGGGCCGGGTGGAGGCCGCCGTGGCCTCGGGCGGCCTTCCGTCGGCAGGCACGTCGCGGAGGCGTGTAGGGCGCGAGTGCGCCGGGTCTGCGGACGTGTTTTGACGATCGCGTCCTCAGGTTTTGACGGTCCAGCCGTTCGTGGCAGCGGGAGCCTGCGTCGAATTCCAGGCTGGGTCTCGTCATGTTCATGGTGGCCGCGTCGGGTCAACCCGAGTCCCTCGGGCCCGAGTCTCACGTCTCCCTGCTCATGGGAGCCTTCGTGTCCTCACAAGATCGGCTTGAGAGTGCACTGCCGTGCGCTAGCCTGTGGTGATCGGTCAGAAGCGGCGTACTAGCGTCGATAAGCGCCGATTGGGCGTTGATGAGCGTCGATGTGCGTCGGCTAGCGTCAGTTAGCGTCGAAACGCCAGAGCCAGCAAGACGATATGGGAGGCTCCCATGAGTTGCCACAGGTCATTACAGGTGTGACCACTCGCGCTGGAGCGGCCGCGATTTGCTCCAACTGCCTCCAGAGATAGTTGAGTTTACCTGGATGTATTTGGATGTACCCCGACTCATCGCAATATTTTACCTCGATTTATCTGGCTTGGTCCCCACACGTCGACGGGCGAACAGACGTCAAGCCATTGGGTTGGTAGGGTCGGAGTAGGCACGGAACACATAGGCGCGGAGACCGACATAAGTTCCTGTTCATTTTGAACAGTTGTCGGTGTCACCGCGGACGTCGTCCGTTTGGGAAAGAAGGCCGCTTGCCCAACAGCGGCCGCTGTCGGTTTTCGACAAGACTTGCTTGGGTATCGTGCCCATTCGCTGCGTATCCTCTTCGGGCGTCCACACGCAGGTGGCAGAACCCTCCTCCGAGTCTTCCTCCGCCAGTCCATCTAGGATCGCGCCGCATCGCTGATGCATCGACGATGCGGCTCGATGTGGAGCCTGATTTGCTCCACACCGACGTCGTGGATGCGTCACCGACACCTCCATGATGCATCGCCGATGCATGTCCGACGCATCAGCGATGCATTGGCCATGCGGCGCGATCCTTCGACCCCGTCTACTCGGACCCCATCTAGGAGGCCTCTAAACATGTGTTTTGGGGTATCGTATCCATTCTCTTCGTCTCCATTTCGGGCGTCCAGACTGAGGGAGCAGAACCCTCATCCGAATCTTCGTCCGCCCGTTCAGTGGGTGCTCGCCGCAAGCGTCCCCCGAGCTGCTGCGAAGCCCCCCCCCTTCCCGCGGCAGCTTCCGGCGGACTCCCGCGATGTCCGCGTACCCTCTTGCGAGCGGCATGGCAGGCTACGCAGGCGACGGGGCGCCCTTCGCTTCCCTGCTCCTCCTCTCCAGAGGAGGAACAGGTACCCATACTGTGGGCCCAGGGAACGGCAGGGCCGTTCGTTCATTGTTTTCGATTAAGTGTCTTGAGAATGGAGTCGGTAACAAAAAGCGGCGACCAGAAGCGGCAAGGAAACGGCTCCGCGATTTGAACCGGAATCAGAAACTGAACAACGGAACCGGTAAAACAACGGCCTCGTCGTTTCCAGGGCCCGCTGAGACCCATACCACCACCCTTCCCCTGTCTGTCCCCCTTGGTGGGGGGTTCCTTGGTGGCCCTCGTCGCCACCGCTGGATTCGCTTCGAGATTCTGGGCAGAAGGCACCCCAGAAGCGGTCCGGGGAGTGGAGTCAACCTGCAAGAGGATGGGCAACCTTCCCAAGGTTACCCTTGCATCCTTGCCTCCGCTGTCCATTCGTCGCCACTTCCGTTGGCCGCGCACCGCTGGAGTAGCTAAGCCATGGGCGTCCAAGGCTCTTGCATCCGTATCGCGCATCCTTATGGCTCCCCGTCCTGCTTCTCCTCCTCTGTGGCCATGTCGGCTCGAGCCGCGGCTGGGCTCAAAAGCTTGCCCAAAGGTGTTCACAGCGAGTCCAGGGGCCCCATGAGCCAGACGTGGTTCTCTCAGGAGGGAAAAAAGCACAGCACACACATACACATATATGAGTATATACATATATACATGTATGTAGACAACCATAATCGTCGATTCCCAAGAAATAGGAGAGAATACGTGAAGTGGGGGGGAGACGAACACCCATACGATACTTCTGAACAAATATGGGGAAACTTGGAGTTCGTGCCTATTTCTTTGTGTGTCCCTGGACCCCTTCGTTCTCCAGGGGCGCTCGTGGCAGCGCGTGCGAAAATGCTTGGCTCCTTCATTCGTCCACCTTGTGGCTTATTCGTCCAGGTCGTACCATCAGGCGAGTGTGTGTTTTTGCTTTACAGAAAAAACAGTGGAACTCGTAATCTCCATGCCGCCCCCATGCCCCGTAACGGTAACGCGTACGCGTGGGGGGTGTGGGCTCCCCCTCAGGTATGGCGTAATGCTCACAAGCGTGATGTGGTGCTGACAGGAGGCATGATGCGGTGTTTACAAGCATGCTGTGGCGCTCGCAAGCATCCATTTAGCCAGAGATGCCAGGAACGCTGGGAATGCGGTGTTGCCGTTGTTGCTCCTGCTGTTCCTGTTGCTCCTGCTGCTGTTCGGATGCTCCTCCTGCTCTTACAACTCCGGTGCTCCTCCTCCTCCAGTCCTTTCCTTGCTGATCCTCCCGCTCCTCCTTATGTTGCTTTTCCTGTTGTTCCTCGTCTTGATTATTCCTGGCTCGCCCTCCTCCTGCTGCTCGTGCTGTTGCTCCTCCTGCCTCTCCTGGAACTCCTGCTGCTCCTCTGACTGCTCCTCCTGGTGGTCCTCTTGCTACATCCTCTGCTGATTGTTCTGCTGCTGTTGTTGCTGTGCCCATAGGAGTGCTGTGGTGTTGACAAACATGGCTTCGTGTTCACAAAGCATGCTGTGTCGCAACGATACAGCGCAAGGGCGCAATCTGTTGCGCGCCCTTGGCGAGAGGGCGCAACCATAGAGCGCGCAACCCATGGCGCAACCGATGGGCATTCTGTGGCGCCGCATCTGGCGGCCCCAACATGCAGTAACTCGCTGTTCGAGGTCTGAAGCAAGTGGCACGCATCAGCGCGGCCACTGCCGTCCGGTGACGAGGCGCATACAGATCCGCTGCCCCCGGCCAGGCCCGTGCCGTGCCGGGGGCGGTGCAGTGGCTAAACCAAGGGGGGCGCGCGCACCGCTCTTGGTCACAGAGCGGGCTTGACCAGGGGCAGTAGATCAGTATAGGCGTATAGGCTTCAGCGCCGCGAGCTGCTGCCGTTGCCAGTCCCTCCGCTGCCACAGGTGAAATAGTGCCCACGTGTGTTCCACAGGCTGACGCTGGGCGGCCCCGCAACACGCGGCGTTGTGGTCCCGTCCGCATTTCGGTGTCCACAGACAAGCAATGGTTGCACTGTGGCGTTCGGTAGCCAACTGTGGTGCTTGCAAGCGCTCCCACTACCATTGCTGCCACAATTATTTCGACGACGACGATCCTTACCGCTGCCACTTTACAGTCGACCACTTCATCTACTACTTTTATTATTACTACTACTACTACTACTACTACTACTACTACGGCGAACCACAACTACTCCGACTACTTCTTAACAAACGATTTCTATTACCACCACAACTATTATTACTACTACTAACACCACTACTACTATGACTAGTAGTAATAGTACTACTACTTCTACGACTACTACTACTACTAGTACTACGACTAGTACGACTACGGCTGCGACTACGATTGCTACTACTACTACTACTACTACTACTACTACTACTACTATTACTACTACTTCATAAATTTTTATTGCTACTATTACTACTCATACTGCGATTATTGCTTCAACTATTATTGGTAGTGTTACTACGACCAACTTGTGCTATTGCAGCTACCATTGTTACACCTATTGTTTCTACGACTACTACTAGTCATGCAAATCGTACCTTTACAGTTGCCAGTCGGACTATTGCTGCTGCGAGCCGTAGCATTATTATTATGGTTATTATTATTTCTACGAGCACTACTCGCATTTCAACGCCTACTGCTACGACCATTTTTCGTACTACTTCTCCTTCTACGACTATTGTTGCTTTCGCGATCACAAGTACGACTACTGCTGCTACTAGTACTACTTCATTGCATATTACTACCACCACGATTACTTGTACGACCGCGACTTGCATTACGACTAGTACAGCTACCACGGCAAGTACTACTCTTACTACTACTGCTGCTACTACTACTACTGTTGCCACCACTTAAGTCCACTACTTTTTCTTTTAGTGCTACTAATAATACTACTTCTACCAATCCTACTACTACTACTACTACTACTTCTACTACTACTACTACTACTACTACTACTGCTACTACCTTTATTTGTACTAGTACCACTACCACACATACTAATTGCAGTACTACGTATACTGAACACTACGAGCACCACTACTTCTATTACTACTACTACTACTGCTACTATGCTTTTTGATGCTATTACTACTGTTGCTACTACTACTACTACTACTAATACATGCACGACTCGTACTACTATTACTACTCCTCCTCCTAATATTACCAGTAGGAGTAGTACTACTACTAATTCGGCCACTGCAAGTACTGCGGTTACTACTCCTACGACTACCACTACTACTATTATTACTACTACTACTACTACTACTACTACTACTACTACTCTTACTACTACTACTATTGCTACTACTATTGCTACTACTACTACTACTACTACTACTACTACTACTACTACGAGTATTACTATCATTACTACGACGGCTACTACTACTACTACTACCACTACTACTACAATTACTACCACTAATACTACGACTACTGCTACTATTAGACTTATTACGAATACGACGACTACGGTGACTTCTGCATGTCATGCATTAGTTGTAGTTGTCCGACGTCTATTTTCCGAACTACTACTTCTATTATTCGGATGATCAATATGCAGACTTGTGCCCCTACTACAACCACGGCCACTCCTACCAATACTACTACTACTACTACGACTACTACTACTACTACTAACTACTACTACTACTACTACTACTACTACTACTACTACTACTACTACTACTACTACTACTACCATTGCTAGTATTATTACACCTACTACCCATCTTGATTTCTCCTACTAGTATGCCTGCTACTACTACTACTATTCCTACTACTACTACTACTACTACTACTACTAGTTCTACTACTACTACTACTATTACTACTACTACTACTATTACTACTACTACTACTACTACCTCTACTACTACTTCTACTACTACTACTACTACTACTATTACTATTACTACTAAAACCACTATTACTAGTACGACGATGATTATTACTACCACGAAAACTGTGAGTAGTAGTAGTACTGTTACTACTACTATTACTTACTACTACTACTATTACTACGACTACTTCTACTACTACTACTACTACTACTACTACTACTACTACTACTACTACTACTACTACTACTACTACTACTACTACTACTACTACTACTACTACTACTACTACTACGACTACGACTACTACTACTAGTACTACTACTACTACTACTACTACGACGGCTACTACTACTACTACTACTACTACTACTACTACTGCTACTACTACTACTACTACTACTACTACTACTACTACTTCTGCTACTACTACTACTACTACTACTACTACTACTTCTACTACTACTACTACTACTACTACGACGACGACGACGTTCCACGTTCCACGCCGATGCGAGCGCTCGTCCGTTCGGGCGCTGGCCGCGAGCACCGAGAGGCAAGCCTCTCAACAGAAAGGAAAGGGCGGGTGCTCAGCGCAGCACCGCCCGCAAGGAAAGAACGAGCCCCAGATAGGGGCAAGCAGGCGGTGGGCTAACCCCCAGGGTCGGCCCACCCTTGCTCGCCCCTATCGGGGCTCGCGCCCTGCACAGACACGGTCCAGGAACCACCGCTGGTCCTTGGACATGCGTCCCGCGCAGGTCTTAAGCAGGGCGCGCCAGCTCGGCGCCTCAATCAGCGCGTGGGCCCCACAACGTTGACAGATCAGGTAGCGGCCAACAGCCGCGACCTGGTGCTGCAAGAAGTGGAAGACCGACGGCGGGGCGACAGCTTCACCCTGCTCTCCCTCGAAGCCGAGGGCCTGCCACGCTCGACGCACCGCCTCACCTCGCGCCCTAGGGAGGACGCCCCCGAGGCGGTGGTGTCGGACAGCAGCTAAAAACAAATGCAAGTCGGTCGGCCTGCAGACCGCGCTAGGCTGCTCAAGCCTGGCTCGGCCTCCTGCCGACTTCGCGATACTGTGGCACCATGTGCACCGCACACCTC